TGTAGCATAGTGGCGTTGGCGACCATGGACTTCGCTTTTTCGAATGCCATTTTGGCATCAGAAGGGAGCTTGAATATTTGATTCTTTTCTTTCTTCGTACCTTTTTTATCACTTTTCAGCAAATCTGTTAAAGGCTGTAATACATCTGCACAATATGGTAGAAATTGCACGTTCCGAGGAAACGGCGTAATAATTTTACAGAAGTTGGTTCAGGGTAATTGATAATAGCTTCGACTTTTTTCGAAGTGGTTTAATGCCTTGAGAATCGATTTAATGTCCTAAGAACTCCAAGGCTGGGACGCCAAATATACATTTAGAAGGGTTGATAACGACGCCATGTTTTTTAAAACGTTCGAAGAGGGTGTGTAGGTGCTGGACATGCTCTTCTATTGATGAGCTGGCGATCAAAAACGTCGTCGATATAGGCGAATATGAAATCTAAACCTCTTGTAACATCGTCCATAAATCGTTGGAAGGTCTGGGCGGCATATTTTAGTCCGAATGGCATTCTTAGTATCTCAAACAGACCAAAAGGTGTAATGATGGTTGTTTTTTCAATGTCTTCTGGTGCAATCGGAATTTGATGGTATGCACGCACAAGGTCAAGTTTCGAGAAAATACATTTACCATGTAAGTTTGGTGGAAAATCATGTATGTGTGGAATAGGGTAACTGTCAGGGATGGTTTGGTTATTCAAACGGCGATAATCACCACAAGGACACCAGTCTTGATCTTTCTTTGATGCCATGTGCAATGACGAGGCCAAAGGACTGTTAGTTTGTCTAATGATCCCAAGTTGCATCATGTGTTCGAATTCTCTCTTAGCCGACTGCAACTTGTTTGGTGTTAATCTCCTCTCCCTGGCGCAAATGGGTGGACCGGTGGTGCTAATGTGGTGTTGCACATGATGTGCGTTGCATTCCTTTTGGTAGTCCGCTTTAGTTATTCACTTGTGTTTCGTCAGGATTTCGGCGAAAAGGTTGTTCACAGGTTTCATTACTCGTACACCATGTATTTCATAGTCGGTGGTAAGTGTACCGTTCACCTGCAAACGTGTATTCTCGTCGATCAACTTCCTTTTGCTCATATCAACTAGTAAACTATAGGCGCTGAGGAAATCGGCCCCGAGAATTTGTTGCTTGACTTGGGCGACTATAAAAACGCACGTAAATCTTTTACGGAGTCTGAGATCTAATATGGGGGATTGTTCACCGTAAGTTCTAATGACTGTGTTGTTAGCCGCGATAAGAGACAGTTTGGTACGTGTCGTTTGTTGTCGTCGTGAGAGGTGAAGTGGGACGATGGTGATTTCTGCTCCTGTGTCGACTAAAAAGTCTGAGCCAGAAATACGGTCCCTGATGTGAAAAAGGAGGCTAGCGTGTTGGCTAGTAACAGACGCCGTCATTACTGTCTGGCCGGCCGGTTACTCTGGTTTTCTTGCTTGTTTGTTTTAAAGTTTCACGGTTGGGTGCAACGACGTGCTTTCTCACCATACTTCAAATGATACCAACAAATACCAGCTGCCCGCTTGGGTGACCTAGGGCGCTGTCTGGACACTGATCGTTTTCTGGATGTGGATCTAGTAGGTCGGGATTGAATCGCTGCTATAGTCGCCTGCAGTGACTCTAACTGCGTGGTCAACTGCGTTAACTGCTGTTGGATGTTGAATGTGGTGTTCGTATCGTCTTAACCAGAAGTTTGTATCGCATTTAGGCAATGACTGTCAGGGCAGATCTCCATCATCTTGTCCGCCGTATCTGCTAGGTCTTCTAGATTGACGGAACCTCCCGATACACTAAGAGTCTCTCACGTTATGTGGTAATCGTTGGAACCACATTTGTTTAAGTAATGCTTCATCTAATTTATATGAACTCGCTAACTGTTTCTTATGTCGTAGCAACTGCAAAGGTCTCTTGTCCCGTAGTTCGCATGATGTGAGCAGTTGCTGTAGTCGTTTTTCATCAGAGAGTGATGTACGTTGGATTACGGGAGCTTTCGTTTTGTCATAAGGATCAGTCTCTGGTACATGGTCGATCAAATCCCCGACTTCCGTAGCGATTTCGATGGGAAGTGCGCCGACAACAGGCATATTTGGTCGCCTGGGAGCGTATGCCTCTCGCTAGGAATAAGGCTTCTACGTGCGCAAACCAGATCCTGGGGTTGTTGGCACTGTATGCCGGTAGTCTGAACTCGGAAATAGCATTAACTGAGCTTAAAATGTTATCATCTGAATGTGATGAGTTGAGGGGATTCACTGGAGGACAATCGGTATTAATAAGTGTATTTGGGGAGTGCATAATGTGAAAAACAAACTAGTGTGTCAAGTAAAAATGTAAGCAATACAACGACCATAATAAACTCGAGGCTCACCAGATAATTGTAACGTCTCTAATTTTTGTTGTGTTTATAACATTTAACTCATATATATTAACATTACTATTTGTACTTAATAACTCTGTTATCATTTTTGAGTTCATATATTGTTTGGTCCCCCAGTGAACCCCCTCAACTCATCACATTCAGATGATAATAATAATCGAATACAATTCGACAAAAAAACCTAGAAACATGCAAATTTATCTTCGTTCGAGTTGACGCTGTTAAAAAGCCACTAAAACAACCTTACGAGGGATCACATCAAGTAATCAAAAGAACAAGTAAACACTTTATAATCAACAAGTGCGGAAAGAAGGAGACTATCGCTATTGATAGAATAAAGCCAGCCTTCTACGAAGCGCAACAAGACAAAGAAGATATCACTGCAATTAATTAACCCCTCCCACTAACCACTACTAGAGCAGAAAAGGATGAAAAACCGAGTACCAAACCTACTTGCTTAACACGTTCAGGCAGGACTGTAAAGAAACTCAAACGTTATGTACATTTTGTCGAATAAAAAAATCAAAACAAACAGTTATCGATGTATTACACTGTTAAATTCACCCAATTTCCTAATAAAATCTACTATTTTTTTAAAACGTGTATATAATTAATTACATTTTTCCACAATTACCCGTTTTGTCAGTTTTTTTTAAAAACAGAAAAAAATCTGTCACAATAATAAACGAGTGAATTTTAGTTAATTATTTATTAATTGTATATAAAAAAATAAACAATTCAATTTTCATATGGGTTTATTAACAGTTTTGCACATTACTGTTATAATTAGCAAACCAAGACTTTGAATGACTGTATTTTCAATCTCTTTTGCGGTTGTTATGCTATGCTACATCAATGCTATTTTACACAATAACACATTATATATTACTAATGTGCATGTCATACTTATCTCCACCTTTTCTTTTTGGTTATTACTGTAAATATTATTTTGCATACATGTATATGCCATATTCTTGCAATCTGTTATTACTATTATTATTATTACTATCATTACTATTACTATTATTATTATTGTTGTTATTGTTATTATTATAGCCAGTGTTACCTCCGGACACTCTGGGAGGAGCTATTTGGAGATAGGCCTGATAAGCTTATTTTGTAAATAGTTTTTGACGTTATTTGTATTTATTCTGTCGATTTTTATACTGCATGTACATTTATCATTAAATTGTTGTACGTGTTGTTTAAGTGTATGACCTTGGGCACACTTTCTTCCGTCGTGTTACATTCATAGCTTGACACATTGTTAACTGCCAACAAATACACTGCTATACACACACGTCTTGTTCTTCATTCGCACGTGATTGTGTTAACTGAACTCTAAATCAAATACTGTCTACATTTATAGACTATAATCGGAATATATCATATTCTACATTTGGTTATACCACTCGGAGGACATCAACCTTACTGAAATCTTCAATCATCTATAATTGTGGATTTTGGTACCAGACTCAATCAGAACACACACAAACCTGCTGAATTAAGTAACGTCTCTAATTTTTGTTGTGTTTATAACATTTAACTGGTATATATTAACATTACTATTTGTACTTAATAACTCTGTTATCATTTTTGAGTTCATATATTGTTTGGTCCACCACAGCCCTGAGAAGAGGTGGTTGTGCATGAAGTCACCGAACATTCTCATATCAAAAGCGTGGAGTAGGACTCATATCATCAATGAGCTGTATATTCAGTCTTTCGTCACTAGACTAGTTTCACGGCATCTTCAGCAATTTACTAGTGTGAGTACAGGTATAGGCTATTTTCAATTTTAAAGGAGTGCTTTCATTTTGAATCTAACAAATGCTTGTCGTAATTACTGATATTATTTACTAACTGATTATCTACGATTTGACTAACTTACATATTGTATAATAAGACATCATGCTTGTGCTCTTGACTCGTTGTAAAGCATTAGACCATAGAAATTATGGTTTAATCCATTTCATTCCAATGTTAATCCTGAGTTCCTTCCTTAAATGTAAGTAACTGGTTAATTTTAGTCCGCAGAACAGTAAGGTTGTTTTTTTTTTACAAAGGATGATTGTGTGAAAAAAAAACTGGTGAAATAGACTAATTGATGTGAATTAACAATGCGAAGTCCTATCTTATATCTTATAGCTACACTATTTGCCTTCAATGAACCCTCAAACCTGACCCAAATCTTGTTTTTCAAGTTGCTTGTAAACTGGAAGCAAACTAGTTCCAAAGGGAATAAGTAAATTATATTAGAATAGAACCATTAGTCGCTTGCTCGTGATCGAGTCTTTTTCCTAGCGCGATGATCCCTTAAAGCTTATTTGACAAATAGAAGTTAATGATGATACAGGTTCTCGTACCAGATTTTAATCCTTATCTACATTTTTAAGAGCGTAGAATAGTACCCATATAAAATTACTTTAACCCTTAGTTGGATTCGTCAATCTGTACTTAATAATTGAGAATAAAGTAAAATATGACTTCGTAAGTGTATTAACTTACAATTTTTTTCTTTATCTGTTGGATAAAATCATCCTGATTCCTCTTTTTTGTTTCTTTTTCAGTAGTTATGTTAGATCCAGTGATTAGGAACTACAAGACTTTTTAATGAATGTATGAATATGTTGCAAAGTTTGTTCATTATAAATCAGTCGAAGTAATCATCGAATTACTCATTTATCCATTTATAGTGAAATATGTTTAGAAAAACACTGGACAAAAAACATTTCAAAGACAGTTTACGATACCTTTTTTGATGCCGTCACAAAATATGCAGCAGGTGATGTGCCACCCGTTCTAGAAACTCCAAGCAATTCACTCATTCATATTTTGCGCAACAATTTATATTTTCTAGCTGTGTGTGTTAATGAGCGTATGTCGTCAGTATTTAATAATCCATACTATCTTAGTACCTCCCTTACTCGTGATTGAGTTTTTAGATTGCGTTCATTCAATAATCGAAGATTATTTTGGCTCCGTTACTGAAACATCAATCAAAGAAAATGTAGTTTCAATATACGAGGTTAGATACCCCTTGTTAAAATAATTCATACTACTAGATTTTAGATGAAATGCTTGATGGTGGTTTCCCACTGGCCACCGAATCTAATATTCTAAAAGAAATTGTGCGTCCTCCCAACTTCCTTCAATCACTAACAGATGCGGTTACTGGAAAAAACACGATTATTGGGTCCACACTCCCTACAAACCAGTTATCGAATATACGTTGGAGACGTTCTGGTGTGAACTACACTAGCAATGAAACGTATTTCGACCTGATTGAAAAGATAGACGCGATTATCGATCGTTCTGGTTATGTAATTTCCAAGGAGATTCACGGATCAGTAGGTCTTTATATGTTCTTTAGTGTAATCTTTGCTGTTGAATGGTCAAGAACAGTAATCAGCATTAACGAAATGGCTCAGTGAACAGATGTTTTCATTGATAACAGCATTTACTAAAGCTGTACATTTGTATTTTTAGTTATTCGATAAATTAGTTTACAACCAAATAGATAGGTCTTTAGTAAATAAGTCTGTTACCTCCAAATGCCCTGGTGCGGCCGAGGGTAGGGAGAGTCCGCTCTCCCTCTCGAAATGCACTTACATGGCCATGAGTATATAGCCTCTGCAAGGAAAGTCCTACTCACTGCCTTCTCGTGGAGGGGGTGTTGTTTACGAAAATGAGGACGAAAAGCGAATGTCCGGCTTTTTAAACGGTTTGGTGAACACGGAGAGTCGACCTACGGGAGTTGGAAAACCCTGATTCCAAACCAATGGTGCACATGGACTCCAGTACCTTGACGGAACAAATGGCGTATGAACCAATCGTTGGTCACCGGCTTCCATGGGACTCCATCTCCCTACGATGCTCCACTGCCTTGTGGATTAGACCTTTAGGTCGAAGGCTCCGGGTGTGGCCCCCTAAGAAAACCACCTGCTTCGGTTTGGGCACCCGGGAAATATCACATCCCTCACACAAATCTCATTTGATTTGTGTGGCGCTTATATATCTGGTGCCCCTTGTACCAGTATTTGTGTCCAAATAAATAATAAAGTCTGATTGAAAATAACAGATGTTAGTGATCGGTTACATAATTAGAAAGAGGCCAGTAACAACGTACAGAGTCTAGTCTTCGTTCCCGTTAAACACAGTAATAAACTCTGAGCTCTCCTGTCAACGTAACTGACGGGTGAGAATTATTGAACTTCTCTAGGGCATCATTTAGTTCACTCTTCGCGACATAAACTATCAGGATATAATTCATATATCTTATGCTGATTGAAGAACAGTATTCTGTAGAGTGGCTATGAAAAAATGTAATAGAAAAGGATCCAGTGGTGATTCTGTTATGACGGGATGAAAGGTCAAAATTAAAGTGATTAATCATTATGATTTTTATTCAACATTGATTCCGTTTAATTCAATTTAATGATCACTCAGTGTAGTATTTGTTTCCTTTTCCCCTATGACATTTTATGCTGTATAACATACGATATTCTTGTACGAAGTATTTTTCATATATGTGATTTATTCTGATTATTAATCAAAAATGAGTGTACAAACCAATATATAAATGAATATATTTCCGACTAGACTTGTCGTGGTTGTGTAGAGGATAGTATCCTCTACATTTGGCTCCAATAAATAGTATCCCGTTAACTGAGTATTTAATGCAGGCTAAATCTCTTAGTAGAATTATGGATTTACTCGAGATTACTCAAAAGCCTGAACATCAGTTATAGAGATAGTTTATTGTTAAAGATTGGTAAAATCCGCAAGCGTACAAGAAGCAAGCACATCGGGAAACCAAGAGTGTGTGTGTGTGTTAAAAATCCATATATATTTATGAGTGTTAATCAAGTATGGATAAATTATTGATTGTGTGTGTATTACAACCAATCGGAGAATAGATTAAAAATTGACATGTGCTCAATCAGACTCACACAGAAAATTACATGGTGGATCAAGTGTCTAAATTACAGTGAGCAGATTAATACAACACAAACCAATATATAAATCAATATAGTTCCGACTAGAATTGTCGTGGTTGCTCGTGCTTCTGGCTGCTTGCGGAATATATTTCCCCGTTTCGAACTTAAACTTCTCTCTCTAGTCAGCGGGGCTGGGACGCATCAGAATATCTAGCTTATTGGTCTTTGGTCACAAAGTCTTTGTTCCGTTCTCAGACTATGTGAACTCGTAATCGCTTCAAACATAGCAGATTCCATCGCAATCCCAATAGGACTCATTAAATCTGAATTACATATTAAAAAGTGTATTGGGAATCGCTCTTGTTAGATATTTTTAACCATAGATGTTGATGCTTATATTCTTCTTTATCGCTCGGTTACGTTATCACTGTAATTATATTAGCAGAAGAATATCTGTGGTCCTCATTTTAGCTGAACAGTTTTAATCTTAATGAATATTTGAATGAGTATACTTGAATGGTTTTATTACTTCCCCTACCTTCTTTTTATTGTACATTGGGAAGTCTATAAATGTAGTTTGACTAGTCTTAAGTGTATCTCTGCAGTTAGTATACTTTCTTACTATATGCATCCGTATGTTATTTATTTGAAATGTGTATGGGCTGTCGCATTCAGTTATCGTACACAAGATGAATGCTATTTGTAAGTAGTATCCAGACAAATACTTAATCATATTTTTCATCGTTCGCTAATAGGTTGAATGTCTAATTAAATTATCTGGAACTCCAGATATAACACTGGCTTTCACAAATCATCGGCTGATTGATGATGCCAATCTTCATCCTTGTATTCGCTTCTCACGCTGGAAGAGAGAAAGAATCCTATCGTTTATACCGCCTGATGGAAAGTTTTGTTTGTTCAATTATCATGTAAGCTCATTAAGGTGAGTAAAATGTAATAAGGGGTCTTTTGGAAATCTGTATATTGCCTTGCTTTTAATCACTTCAGATAATGTTCAGATTTTCGCACTTACACAAAGCAGCATCGAACGGTGTCTGGAATTACTTACTGATATATACTAAAGGGCTTTTTGTTTTAGAAACGGTTTAATGTATCTTTTCTGTTTATAAATTATCTTAACCATACTGTTTAGTGTTCACAGTTCTATCCTATTTGATTATTGATCATCTGATTTTCCTTCTATTCCTATACAACACTACATTGTATTATATGGAGTATTTCTTGATACTTCACTGTTTTCAAGGTTTTTTTATGTATAATAGTGCGAACCCATGGTGGTTGGCTGTTTAATTGAATTAAAAGCACGAAGATTATTGGAAAGATTGCATGTTCATTAACTAAGTCGTACTATATTGTTTTGTAATAGGGATAAGGCGTTTTCCATTGTTACTCAATATATTCAGGTTTTCCGCCTTCTTATCATCATAAAAACGAATAAAAAAAATAACACTAAGCATATAGTTCCTTCACTAACAGAAATGAATCTTCTTGTTTATTGTGAAACTTCCATTCTTTATTATCTTGATGACTACAACTTAAATAATCTGAAAACCATATCCGGCGCTTTGTTAAGTTTCAGAAGTCGTTCATTTGTACTTCATTCAGATCAATTGCATCGAAGCATTTATTGATCTAAAGAAAAATAACTTGATTAATTGGTCATTTGTTCATAAAATATATTATTATTGTGTAAGAATGTTAATTTCGTTCACAGATTTCTCAATACAGTTTAACACAAAATATCTTTTTTTTATTTATTTACAAATCAATAATAGCCCTGTATCACTTCCTATCATACTAAGACATAATGTTCTTCTCCGTGAACGTGGAGGTCGTTTAGATGTAGTGGTAGTACCAAAAACAATGGGTAAACCTGTAAGTAAAAACCTTCATGTAGAGTTATGTAAAAAGTAATAATCTCATCACATTTTTTTAATCAGACGTGTTAGTTGTCTTTCTGTTTTGAAAAAAAATGTTACACAAATCATTCTAAATATACACTTATGCACTCAGATATCTGCTCCAACCGACCACTGAGTAGTAATTAATTTTTATACTTATCCAATCTCTTGCGCTGATTAAATTCTATCAATTAAGTTCTGATATTGATACTAGCCTAAATGACCTGACATCGTGTGCACTATTTGTTAATAATAAGTGATTTGAAGTAACTAGATGATCGGGAGTGTCGTCTCCGGAATAGTTATTTATTTCCTCGTAAAAATCTGATAAAAGACGTTAAAATCAAGTTATATTTCATTGTACTTGGAGCTGATATAGATGATCTTTTTGACTTTATTATAACGTCAACTGTAATCAGTGTTATTCTTGTAAAACAATCATAACCTGCAGTTTTAAATTTGATAATCGGTTCAGTAAATCATTTGACTTTTTTTTCACTATCAAATAATTAACTCTGATTAATATAGAGAGAATAATGGTAGCGTAATTAAAACAAAAAATCAAAGTTTTGCCGTCAGCAACATATTCATGAGAATTAATAACTGTGTACAAGTTTATATACTAAATTGTAAGCTTTATCGTCTGGTAAAAGCTTTAACATGCTTAAACTGTTGACTAAATAATTAAAAAACTTTCAGCCAATTTACAGAGCGAAAAAGGATTATACAAGAGTATTTACTTTATATTCGAATTATATATTATTCATGCTGATTTCCCACCTCTTACAGGTTGAAAATGTAAAACTTACCATCCAGTTACCACCAGAAGTTTTAAATATCACAGCATCTCCAAGTGCTGGACGAACTAGTTTTGATGTAACAACAAAATTGTTTCAATGGGATATTGGTCGAATTGAAACAAAATCTCCAAATCCTTCAATGAAAAGTAGTGTGAGTTTTACTTAATTTCCTAATGTTTTCATTTGTCTAGTTTGCAGTAAAAGTGCATATATTTGAAAATTCATTATCCATTATGACTACTGTCTTTGAATAGTTTGATCAAGTATTAAAGTTTAAACCTTGCGTTGATTTTTATCAAATTAAATTAAGATGTTATGCCCTGGTACGGCCGAGAGTGGAGAGACTCCGCTCTCCCTCTCGAAATGCTCTCACATGGCCACGCGTATATAGCCTCTGCCAGGGAAGTCCTACTCACTGCCTTCTCGTGGCATTACTGTTGTTTACGAAAATGAGAGGACGAAAAGCGAATGTCCGGCGCTTTAACCGGATTCCAAACCAATGGTGCACATGGGCTCCTGTATCCTGACGGAACAAATGGCGTATGAACTAATCGTTGTTCACCGGTTACCATGGGACTACACCTCCTTACGATGCTCCACTGCCTTGTGGATCAGTCCTTCAGGTCGAAGGCTCCGGGTGTGGCCTTCTAAGAAAACCACCTGCTTCGGTTTGGGCACCCGGGAAATATCACATCCCTCTCACAAATCAAATGGGATTTGTGTGGCGTATATGTATTTGGTGCCTCCTTGTACCAATATCTATGTGTTAAAAATAATACTTAATGAATAAATGTTGTTTTATGTAACATTAAGAATTACTTTAACAGTAAATTCACATGACATATTGAGTAAAGATTGGTATTATTTATGGAAATTGGATAATAGATATGTTGTTGTATATCTTGTAATGGTTATGTTGTATCTTATGGATTAAGGGGAAAACTGTAAAAACTAAAAGCTAGAATTAAACATAATAAATACATCATAATCTTCAGTATTTCACATTTGAATTTTTTTTTAAATAACCTGCAAAAATGTAGTAATTAAAATGAAAAGTAATCAGATGGTCAATTGATAATTTCATGGTGGTTAATAAATGCTCATAAACCCCACCCGTCATGCAAAATCCTTCCCCATCCCAACTAAACGAATCGAACAAGTGAACAATAAATTTATCGGTTTTTAATGAATAAAAGATGTTTCTACACAAAGTAACTTCCACATAACTCTCTAAAATGTCTTATTAAGTGTATTATTCTAATTGTAATCATAAGTCTAGACTTGTTCAGACAAGTTACTAATGTTTTAGCATAATTTGGGTTGATTGTTATTCTGGATGCCAACTTATTGGTCCAAAGGTTAAGCTCTCGTTGCGAGGCTGTGAAGGTCCTATGTTCGATTTTCGGTAGGATCGCATATACATTGCTTAGAAGTAAGACATTTTACGGTGCTTCCTGGTCTTAAACTGTTGTTTAAATAAGGTCAGTTTGTGATATTAAAATTAGTGATTCCTGCTAAACACTTTCTAAATTAGATTATATCGTATAACCTTTCCAACCATGTGTTCTCACTCTTAAAATCCTTGTAGATCGATTTAGTTAGTGGTCTTACTACATTACCATCAAATCCTGTAATCGTCGTAAACTTTTGTATTCCACAATTCGTTGTATCTGGGTTGAAAATTGCTAGAGTTGACATTTATGGAGAGGTATGTTTTATCCTATTTTATCTGAAATATTACAGTAAAGGCCTTTACTAGCTCTTAAGATGACCGGCATATAATTGCACTTAAATCATTTATTAGTACTTATTTACGTCTCACATTAGTAATCAAATCCAATTTTCTTTTTGATTGCGTGTGAACAGATAATCAGTTAAAATAGTTTCTCACAGATACTTGTTTTTTGTGTGTATATGGCCGACTGCCGTATAATTGAATGTGAGTATTCGAACTACTTACAAGTAGTTATTTTTTAGTTCTAAAAGATATACTGTGCCACTGTTATATCCGAAGAAGAAATGAACGGTAACGGCTTGGAGTTACGTGTGGACCATTATTACATATATTCTTATTGTGTAATTTCTAAGCAACTACATTATATATATATATCTTATTATGAGCTTTGATTTGACCTATTGGCTGCTGTTATACGACTTCTTAACTTATTCCCAATTTGTCAGTTACAGTATCTCTCATTCACGACCACTTCTGACCTGATCTTGTATAATTATTATTTTTCATTTAATAGTGTGGTGCGAACTGGTGTGCTTATATATAAACCAAACATGTCTGAAATATACGATTCATATAGCGGAGGTTGATATTTGTGTTCTGAACTGGACGGGCTGGGTAGGCGAGAAGTTGCTATACAGAGGACCAATAAAGACTCAGAGTTGACTCATGGTTCTGGTTCACGCATCGTTGGTTTAACACGGGGATAAGATCATATGATTCACGTGCTGATTGACAGAGTCACAGGACATAACCCCCTATTTTCTATATTATTTACCCAGTTGTGCTCTAGTTGGATATCCCGCTTTTTTTAACTTAAAAGGGCTTTGTAATTGGGGGTGATCTACTAAAACCAAAGTTAAGAATCTTTTTTATCACAAATGCATCCATGCAAGTTAACGGCTTGTTAGTTATTTGATATTTGAATAATTTGTTATCCAGTAAACCGATGTATATATATCAAGGCTTAATTTCGTTTATTTGTGGTAAAATGAATTAACTGAAATAACAGAGAACGTTGATTTGAAATTAATTTGTTTGTTCTTGCGGGCTATGTTGGATTTCTTGGGTCGTTTTTTCTTTTCGCTATCTCATCTTTGTATCAAGTGACTAACTCCAGTGTGATTGTTAATTTTCTTATAAATATGTATTAAGTGACCCATAATTCTCTATTAAATATTATTTTTATTTGTGTTCCTATCTATTTTCTCCTTTTAGAAATATAAACCATTTAAAGGAGTCAAATACGCAACGAAAGCTGGTCAATTTGAGGTGCGAACGTGAGAATAGTCAACTTATCTAGAAAAATAGCACTGTCAAATGAATTCTTTTCTGTTTTAGCATTTACACTTTACTACCCATCATTGTTATCTTGTTTCTTGTTGTTATGGAATTTGTTTCATTGATTTGCTTCAATCCTTCAATATTAGTACTTTGTGATAATTTTTTCTTGTAAGAAAAATAATTACTTTATTTAAAGTCTTCTAACAATTGATTTGTTATGTCTTTGTTGAATTAAAAGTTATTCCACAACAATCTGTCAATACTGTGATTAATGTACACTTATGACTTGTGGTTATTCACGAAACAATAACATATTGCTTTTTGGTTATTTTTGTGATAAATATTCTTTTCTATTCATAGTCAGTCAACTAGTATGTTTGTTTTCGGAAGTGTCTTAAAATACATTTTTATTGTTCATTTTCTAACGAGTATGATGTTTCAAAAGTGTCGACTTCAGCTATCTGTAACCCAAGTGAAATTTCTATCTGATTATCTAGTAAAGAGCGAGTACAGCTCTCAGCTTTTCTGTTTATTACTTGTGCTCCTATTAAAAGCGAAATATGTGTGTAGCTTGCTGATGCGTAGATACGAAACACAACGCGCATATAAAATCAATCAGTGAAGAGTGATATTGTTGACAATAGAACACTAAATAAATACAGTAGGGAACTGAGTTTTTTATGTTGCGTACAGTATAGTCTTTCAAGTAGAACTCAACTATCCTATTTGTTCTGTCAATTTTACCTGTTAACTAAATGCAATTTTGTTATTTTAATCTAGACATTCTTGATTACTTTAAACATGATAATGTATTGGTCCATGTTTTTAATTTGTCAAACTGGATTTTTTGTCGATTGTTTGAACTCCACATGAAACATCGGGTTCCTCAAGATTATATATACACCTTACTTAGGAGTTTTAACTAGCATGTGTTTATGTTATTAGCTAAATGATATCATACTCTAAAAATATTATTTCTTCTAATGACTATATTTTGTTTTGTTAATTTTACTATCCAAATAAATCATATATTTTTGGAACATTCATTAATTCGGCAATATGTTACGCAATCCAAACTTTTATTATGGTTTTTTCCCCACCTCATCAGATGGACATGCGCCTGAAAGAAATTTTAGTTAGATAAAAGTAAATCTCAAGTGAAAATACTTTTTATTTAGTGTTCTTTCTTAATGGATTGGTCGTTTTAATTAAAGCTTATTTTACTTGGTTAATATATTACATAGAAACCATAACTTTTATTCTGTTTCGTGGGCTTTATTTTAACAGTTGATCTTTAACTGCTGGTTGGGAAGCAGATGCGAATTGCGCTCCACCTATTTCGGGTTGTATCACTAGATTTTAGGTATAAAGTGTAGCTCAAAGCTAGTTACAAGAAACAATAATTTGTCATTGAGTTACACTCGAATTTAAATACCCATTTAACTAGTACTAAATATATTTCTATGATATCCCAATAAGTGCTCACCGAGTTATCACAAAGATGTATTTATTATTAACTTTCTACCCAATACTTAATTTATTTGAAACTATCAAGTCCAACGTTGGCAGTGTGATATACACAAACCTGTTTAACTGAAACAATAACTTAGTCAATTAATTCTCTAGTATGGTATGGTATGTTATCTGAAAATTATAAAATGAAGTTTTCGTTTTTTTCTTCAAAGTAATTAAAATATTTTGTTGATTAAGTTTTCCAAATTTACAATCACTTCTTTTCAGTGTAATTTATTAGATGATTTCAGTAAGTACAAACTTAACTGATTACTACTATTTAGTGGTTTTTCGATGAATTCACATGTTTCATTCGAGTAAAATGGAAGAAATGATTTATCTTGGAGTTATCATTACCAAAACATTTCGATTAATTTATCCTTTTATCAACTGTATTGAAACTACTTCACATAAAACGATCTTTAAAGCTTTACATATTAGCTGACGTACATAAAGTGTTGAATAGACTTGACTAAGTTAACAATGAATTTTGATTCAACAATAAAAAGTATTATGATAGTATGAACTGTTGTTTTCCTCCCATACTACTGATAATAATGATTGCTATTTGAGATGATTAAACTAACAAAATGAAGTTTGATGATCAGTCGATTAAACTGAGCGTCGAATTTCTGTATCTAATTTACACAGTAATCAATTTTAATACTTGGTAGTTACGATTGTCTTGATATTTTGTTAATCGCTGGTTTACGTATAATGTAGTTTATTTCAGGCTTTTTTTGTGATTCTATAAAAAGAACGATTAACTATAAGTTTATGTGTTCGAAATTTATCATGAGAACTACTTTGTAGGTTTTTGTGATGATAGAGAAGATTTATAGCTCAGGTGGATGATTTTGATGGATTTTTGTTCTCTGAGCTGGATGTTTTGGTCGTGGAGCTTCCATCGTTCTTCTGAACGACATCATCAGCACAAACTTCAGATAGGTTTTTGTTTTTGTTATTTTCATCTAAACAATTATGAATCTTACAGCTTATAGGTTTTTCTGTTTTAAAAAAACATTGTCATAATTCTATTTTGCATAATTTTAGATATTTCAATTGGTTTGTTAAAAAGGGTGCTTCGATTGATTCATCTGTTCCCATCAAAATTCATTCTTCATAATAGATATATACTGTCAATCGATAATTTGTGCATTCGAACGGATATTTCTTTCAACATAGGTATATTATAGTCATAAAATAATATTGTATGCAAAAATCTACATAACAATGTCTGAAGTATCTACGCATTAATGAGTAACCATAGTAAATTATAAATCAATAGGTTTGTACGAAAAACTAGTTTCATAAAATGAAATGTTACTTGTCGATAGAGAAATTTATAGGTAGGTGGAAAGCGTTCATGGTCATAAATTACATTTAATACAAGAAGGAAAGTGTATAAATAAAAGTAGTGAAGAACCACGTCAAATTATAAAATAAATTAGCAAATAATGTCAGAATTTCACATAGTGAATAAAAATTTAAGTCTAGTAGTCAGGTCTCGAATTGGTAGGCTGGTGAATGATTCCGAAAATCCGAATCTCGCATTCATGTACTCTTTTAAATGGACCTTAATCAAATCTATTATTTTCGTTAAGTTTTCTGTTTATTGAATATTCTTATCGTTGATATTATAAGCTATAGTTGACCAGTCTGTACTGGAATATATGAATCCTCAGCACGTTATCATGATAATTCCTTTACTTACAAATTTTTAATATACTTAGGTCCTGATTTCAATGCGAACATCAACATTACGGACTAGGGACATCCAGCTAACTAGTCACAAATCGGATGGGGTGTGCATTCTGTGTTCCAGTGCTAGTCACAATCCACATGTAATAAAAATATTTGCTTATTATTGTGTAATTTCCACTAAGTAACACAACTTTCTTTGCTAGTTAGCCTAGTCTTTTCGATAGCTATCCATCCTGAAGCTTTACATTATTAGTTCGGTTTTCAGTGAACAGTTGTCATTTGGCTATATTAATGCACGTGACTGATCACACAATACATGCAAGTCTTCATTATAACAAAAGTAGGGTTGAACACGTGAATGTATATACGAAATTTCATTTGAATTGTTACATAACTGAGGTAATCGAAACCAAATGTACTCAAATAAACAGCCTTCTCACAATATCTTTAAGAAAATAATTGTAAAATACTCTGAATTATGAGGAATCGTAGCATGATTATTGTTAAGTTAATCTGTATTGCTACTGCTTCATTATTCGACTTTTGGATCGTAAATTGAAACCTTATTCACCATTTACGACTTCAACTACCGTGCATGTCTAATAGTGCATCGGTCCTCAATTCTTTTCATCCAAATGAATAAAAAATTATCTATACACATAAGACTCTCTTTTTTGGATAGCTTCAAAATAATTTATCTTTAACTATTCAGGATTTCCACGTTTTATTTTTAATCTCCCATCTTTTCATGAATCAAATTCCATAAAGTTATAAGACTTAAAACTATTTAAATAAAGTTTGAACTTTCTTTATACTCAATGAAGTGAGCATTTGATTGATCCTCATCTGTTTGGTTGATTTGATTTAAGAATGTACAGTGAAATCAATCTCAGTGTAAGGTTTCTGTAAAATGTTATAAATACACTAAAGTGTGTAGATTATATGAATAGTAGTTGAATTAATTTTCTGTTTCGTTATCATAAAATAAGTTCCTTTTTATACATAAGCAATTAAAGTTATATGCCTATACCAAGGAATCTTTTGCAGTTGTGTGTCGAATATTACCAATTGAGAATTTGAGGTAACCTTACATTGATATCTGTGTGTACATGTTATCCAGTGTACTAGTAGGCTCCTAGCAGAATATCTGGGTCAGTGTTGTAAACACATTCAGTATTATGTGAGTATTGAATAAACTTTGAGTATATGGGACAAGTACATGTACTCTACATGCGATCAGTATTACAAATGCAATAAACATATCGGCAATTAAAGCAAAACCTTTCATTTCGTCAACTTATTTTTCTCAAAATCTATGTCTTACAATATCATTATTCATTCCAAATACAACAAATTTCACTATCTTATACCTGGATTACTTAGTTTCTTTTTAAGTAATTACTAAAACTAACTAAATTCAATTAAAAGCTTTTACTTTACCATAACCTCAATTATACAATCATTTCATATTTAGAGGCATTATCATTCATAGAAAATGCATTAGTTTATGTGTTCTAACAAATCTATCTTATCACTTTTGAATATTTTTTCTCTTACGACAGTTCACTTTTAATTTAATCATCATAATCTGTGTTATATACATAAAAAACTGACTTGATCATCAGTAATTTCATAAAAAAAGATGCATTGATTTTTTTCTTAATACCAAAATGATTTTGTGATTGCCATGATCTTACAAAATATTATGACTAAAATGATCTTGCAACGATCTTGTGGAAATAATCATATGGAAATGATTTGAAATGTCAAAATACAGAGTTGAA